AATACACCTTCCTTCACCACTCACCAATACACCTTCCTTCACCACTCACCAATACACACACTCCTTCACCACTCACCAATACACCTTCCTTCACCACTCATCAATACACCTTCCTTCACCACTCACCAATACACACACTCCTTCACCACTCATCAATACACCTTCCTTCACCACTCACCAATACACCTTATCTGTCTGTCTGGCTATTGATCTTTTCACCTTCTTGTCCAATTTTCTTTCTACCTCAAAAAGCTTCACAAGATCACGGTGATAATAAAAACGAATGGATATATATAGCAGACTACCATATACACTCATACAGGAGGCTTGGGTGTTAAATAACTCAGCCAGCCATGTCCCAAAACAATAGTCCACAGGATATATATGGCGCTATCTGTCGGCTTTTGTTTTATGGCTCGACTATATTTATTTTTGTTTTCATAACTAAATTTTGAGCACCTGAACATTAGACACCCTAGTTTGTTGTACCCGAAGATTAGATACCCCAGCTTATTGTACCTGATGATTAGACACCCCCAGCTTATTGTACCTGATGATTAGACACCCCCAGCTTATTGTACCTGATGATTAGACACCCCCAGCTTATTGTACCTGATGATTAGACACCCCCAGCTTATTGTACCTGATAATTAGACACCCCCAGCTTATTGTACCTGATAATTAGACACCCGGTACACCCAATAAGCCACACCCAGTAAGCCACACCCGGTACTAACCCAGACCGTAGATGGAGGCTTGACACAGGTACTGACGAGAGATCATACACTGGGCACTCTGCTTCACCACAATGAGACCGAAGCCAATACAGCCAAGAGCGTAGGCAAACCCGAGGAAAGTCTGCAGCAGGATTAGAGCAGAGTCCTCCAGTCCTTCCCGCTGAGCTCCTAGGATCTGTAGGAACCATACCAGCTGAGTTATATAGTTAGCATCTATCTGGATAACCGGCAATCTAGGTATATATGTATAGTATATCCGGCTATTAGGCTATTCACCTATCTTGTTATCTATCTGGCTATTCTTCTATTATGTTATCTGTATATCCGGCTATGTGTCTGGGCATTTATCTATCTATCTATCTATCTATCTATCTATCTATCTATCTATCTATCTATCTATCTCTCTATCTATCTATAAGATAATTACAAAGCGCATTCAGAATACCAGAACAGTACAGAGGCCAGATACTCACGAGGTAGAAGAGAGGGTTGTAGAGGCCAGATATTCATGATACAGAGGCCAGATACTCACGAGGTAGAAGAGAGGGTTGTAGAGGCTGACACTCACGAGGTAGGAAGAGAGGTGTAGAGGCCAAGATACTCACGAGGTAGAAGAGGGTTGTAGAGGTCAGATACGAGGTAGAAGAGAGGGGTGTAGAGGCTGGGATACTCACGAGGTAGAAGAGAGGGTTGTAGAGGCCAGATATTCATGATACAGAGGCCAGATACTCACGAGGTAGAAGAGAGGGTTGTAGAGGCCAGATATTCATGATACAGAGGCCAGATACTCACGAGGTAGAAGAGAGGGGTGTAGAGGCCAGATACTCACGAGGTAGAAGAGAGGGTTGTAGAGGCCAGATACTCACGAGGTAGAAGAGAGGGGTGTAGAGGCCAACGGAGGTCACAGCTGCCGTCGTTATTAGCACCTGCACTGAACGGAACTTGAGGCAGCTGAGGTCAAAGTAGGGCGGCTTGTCCGAGTCTATTTTGTGTTTATCTTTCACTTGCTGTAGGAAAAGAGAGGTCACAGAAGGTTATTGGAGGTCACATGAGGTTATTAGAGGTCACGTGAGGTTATTGGAGGTCACAGGAGGTTATTAGAGGTCACAGGAGGTTATTGGAGGTAACAGGAGGTTACTGGATGTCACGTGAAGTTATTGGAGGTCACATGAGGCTATTGGAGGTCACGGGAGGTTATTAGAGGTCACAGGAGGTTATTGGAGGTAACAGGAGGTTACTGGATGTCACGTGAAGTTATTGGAGGTCACATGAGGCTATTGGAGGTCACGGGAGGTTATTAGAGGTCACAGGAGGTTATTGGAGGTCACAGGAGATTACTGGAGGTTACACACACACCTTTATGACAACGAAAAAATTAAATCATCAATAACTTAGTCAACAACCTCAGTGCTCACTTAACTTAACCTAACCTAACAAACTCAGTCCTAATCTAACCCTCTCTATCCTAACCTAACCAAAACTCAGTCCTAACCTAACAAACTCAATCCTAATCTAACCCTTTTTAACCTAACTAAACCAAACACACTCAGTCCTAACCTAATCTAACCTAACAAATTCAGTCCTCACTACAATCTTCACAATTAACATAGTAAAAATTCAAAGCCAATTACAGCGCAGGAAAAATCACAGTAAACAGGTGATTTATTCTTTATGACAGTGATTTATATTTTGTTCAATGACATACAGTACTCCACTAGGGTCAGATATATGTAATTAGTGAGTGGACAGTGACGTATTAGTGGGCAGTGACGGTATTAGTGGACAGTGACGGTACTAGTGGACAGTGACGGTACTAGTGGACAGTGACGGTACTAGTGGACAGTGACGGTACTAGTGGACAGTGACGGTATTAGGGGGCAGGAAGGTACTAGTGGATAGTGACGGTATTAGAGGGCAGTGACGGTACTCGTGGACAGTGACGGTACCAGTGGAGAGTGATAGTTTGAGGTGTAACAGTGACATAATGAATTATGACAGTGACAGCAGACAGTGACATCATCAATTATGAGTGACAAAAGACAGTAGACAGTGACATCATGAACTAAAACAATGGCAGTAGACAGTGACATCATGAAGTATAATATTGACAGTAGACAGTGACAGTAGACAGGGACAGTAGAGTGACAAAGTCAGTTATACAGTGACAAAACACAGTGGCAGTAGACAGTGACAGTGACAGTAGACAGTGACAGCAGACAGTGACAGTAATATTACCTTTCTCTTCTGGTTCTTGAGGTGCAGGATAGCGCGTCTTTGTGGGTGGTAGAGGGAGGCCGACCTGTAGAAGATGCCCAAGAAGAAGGTCGTGAAGACCACACCAGTCACAGCCTGTAGTCCCAGTCTCCAGCCTACCGACCTGCAGGAGGAAATAAGACTCGTATAAAGACCTGACCTGTAATTACCGTTTCCGGCCTACCAACCTGCAGAAGATAATAAGACTCGTATGGAAACCTAACCTGTAATCACTGTCTCTATCCTCCTAACCTGCACTTACTGTCCCCAACTTGCTAACCTGTACTCAGGATAAAAAGAACAATAAGACAGACCAACTGAGATATAACAGCTTAGGATTGACTGCGGGGGGTAACATGTACGTCTTGGAGCTAGATATCTTAGGCTCTTCGTGAGTCTTAGCTGTGATGGGAACCAATTTATCCATGAGACTCAAGAGGCAATATGGTTTAGAGACTTCAATTTACCTTCCCAGACCATTGAAACCAGAGTGGTAGGCTCCTTGTCTAGGTTAAAAAAAAAACAATATTCTCATAGCAATGTTGAATTCAGAGGGAAGGTAACTTTTTTTAATCAATATTGTTTGAACCTCCGGGAAGCTTTATTCAACTTAGTATATAGGATAAAAGAAAATTAATAACATCATAAGAACTATTATTGTATTAACTAGTTCATTCAGGTGTGGAGGATGATGCTGATGATAGTAGAATGATATTACTTTTAACTCTAACTCACTGGGAAAAGATAGCAGGAATGATGTGAGTATAATGTTCTCAGTAATTACTTGCCTTCACTCATCATTCTTCTTACTTTTGTAATTTAATCTTTTTTTTTAAGACTATTGGTAAACAGTGAAGTGCAGTTACGTTCTAAGTTACAGGAAGACAGAATTATAAATCTTTTAGTAACACACAAATAAGTTGGAGGAATACCACAGATTAATATTTTTGGCATAATATTAGTAACAAGACTTAAAAATTGTACATTTATACCATATTTTAATTGTTTTACCTCATGTTGTGGGAAATTGCAACCTAACCTAACCTACCTACTTTCATTATTTTACTAGATGTTTCAGTATTAGTTGACCGAGTAGTTCATAATTCAAATTCATCTCAAACTCACTACGTCCAAAATAATACCTTGTTAACATTAATGGAACCTTGCCTTCTGCAGAGGTAAACCCGATCTCCTTTTCACCCCCCATCGTTCTTGGGAAACCTGTGAACGTTAATATTCCTCCTTGTGTCTGTAGCCTGAGCAGCAACCGTACACTATACAATTACTGGGTAAGGTCTCACATGCTTAAAATTCCATTCTAATCATCGCAATTGCAATCACGTATTAAGAAAATAAATGAAACACGTGTATGTCTGTATATACTTTCAATGTGTACTGAGTTAGATCAAGGGGGCGTGTGATATCATGCGCGTGAGTGGTCGCGTTATTTTTTTTCCACAGGTGAGCAGATCTTGTATTCTTTAGACCTTGCCTTAACCAATCATCTGCAAGGTGAATGATCTGTCGACTGAGCTACCAAGCCATTACAAAAGTAGTTAACTGAATCAGCAATACAAAACCCACACTGCTGCTTAAGGGGGAAACAAGCATTAAGTTACAGTAAACACAACACCTCACAGTCTTGGTTGAGGGGAAAACTAGCAGTGAGTTACAGTGAACACAACCCCCCCACAGCCTTGGTTGAGGGGAAAACTAGCAGTGAGTTACAGTGAACACAACCCCCCCACAGCCTTGGTTGAGGGGAAAACTAGCAGTGAGTTATAGTGAACACAACCCCCCCACAGCCTTGGTTGAGGGGAAAACTAGCAGTGAGTTACAGTGAACACAACCCCCCCACAGCCTTGGTTGAGGGGAAAACTAGCAGTGAGTTACAGTGAACACAACCCCTCACGTTCCTGACTGAGGTGAAGGCCAGCAGTGAAATACGAGATGAGGGGAGGTTGAAGGGGAGGCAGGGGATGGCAGCTGGAACTGAAATATGTGAAGAGAAATGAAATTTTTTCCGTTGTGATAAAACGATGGCGAATAATTGGACGAGTTAATTACATCAAGAGGGGGGGGGGGGGGGATTACGATAATAATTATAAAACTAGATCATAATAATAATAATCTTAATAATAATAATAATAAGAAGAAGAAGAAGAATGAGTATGATTATGATGCTCCTCCTGATGATGACGATATTATGTTTACGTTGTTTGTGTTGGTGATAATAATAATAATAATAATAATAATAATAATAATAATAATAATAATAATAATAATAATAATAATAATAGTAGAGATGATGATTAAAATGTCATCTCAGCAGACACACATCCTACCTGGGAACCGTTACCATGGCAGGGTGAATATCAAAGTAGTGAAGCTTTAACTATAAATTAATGTAGTAACCGCTGGGGCCTCACTCATGTCATCGTTTTCTTTAACCTTCCATCTCTCACCACTGTGGGAACCGTTACCATGGCAATAGTTGGTGATTTTTTGCGTAATTTATATTAAAATATGGTCATTTGATCCTCGTCACATGTTGAGCGGGCCGATGAAGTTTAGTTTAAATCCCACAATTCCTTTTCGAGTTATTTTAGGGATACACAAACAGACGGAGAGACAGGACCGAAAATATTACCCTGTCCCACAGTTGCAGGCAGAGCAATAACAATAATTGGAATAAAGAGAGTTTGTATTGTTGACTCAGGACCTTCTAGTGTTGCAGATATCAACTTTTCCACCTCAGAGTTCTACACAACACAATACTTTACGTCAAGGAACATCCCGGGAATACGAGTCCATCCGACCAAGTTGTCAAATCATCAGGCAAATTGAGATAATTTAGTTTTGTACACCCACAATCAACGTTTCAGTTTCTATAGCTGTTTTCACTTCGTCGAGCGGCGTCACGTACATTATTTATGCTATAATACCACAGGAGAACACGAGACCGTCTGACAATGAAGATCTTTGTCGGTGAACAGCTGCTCACAGTAGCGAGATAGAACACGCTATCAGAGAAGCTTCCGTGACCCTTCTCCTAGACAAACTCTACGAACAACTATGACCGAGGCGGATAAGAAAGTTGCAGACCGCGCCAAGAATATCTGTATGAGGGGAGAGATGATGCATCTTATAATTTTGGTGATCACCGCTAGGAGGGCGCCACAGCTTTATGTTGGATCATATGAAAATGTTTCTTGGTGAAGAACTGATGCTGTTGTGTACATATGATGAAATATGCGCAAATATGATGAACTGGCGAGTGGCGTCAAGAGTAAAACTTCTAAGCATAGACCAGTTGACACAGTATATATAGTATGCTTTCCAGTTTGTTGTTCATGCAATGACTGTCCCAGGTGTCGAGAATCAGCAATGTTATACGAAACATAAAATTCCCGAATAAGGACTATACTGCTCATCAAAATTATCTTGCCCTCTGTAATTATTTCAAACAGTGATAATGTATTTCTTGGTGTTCAGGAAAACAGGGAATGTCTTACTCATTGCTATATACTGAATATATAAACTACAATTATATACAACTCAATGGGGGATCAGTGGTAAGAGTCACTGTGATCCCCAGACAAGACAACTTTCCTGATACAAATGTCTTGGTTCCGCTGGTCCATCAAAAATTTTCTAGGATTTTTCCAAGTGTCGTACTGTGTGACGCAGCAAGTGCACTAGATGCAAATTGAAAATTATCTGCCTTCAGGTCACTCCAAGAGAAGGTCGAGGGATTCCAAGAATTCGTTCCTCGTGTTACCAGACCTTTTATCAACAACAAAGAGACTCAGAGTGTAAAAAGGTTTATTGGAGCTGTATGGTGAGGTTGACTGTAAATCACCCAATCTCCTGAGGCGTTAAAAAGACCTCGGCCAAAGTTGGTTTAAGAAAGTTACTACAGTCACTTGCTTTGTGGATGTCATTTAGCTATAGACGAGGAAAGTTCGTGCCCAGGACAACTGGCAGATGAAAAAAAGTAAATGTTTTAATCATTATACCTGAGAAGTTCTCTATAACTATTCTCGTGACTCTGATCAGTGCTCATCGTTTAAAGTGCATCTAAGGTTATAGTGAACATAAAGCCTTGCATCAACACTTTAGTGTACATTTTCTAAAACATAATTTATTGTAAGACTTACTAACATTATCTAAAAAAAAGCTTTGTTTCCACATGAAATATATCCTTTACACCAACTAAACTATTGGGTAGCGTTTCTAAGCCACGATAAGTCGACCTAGTCATACATATATATATATATATATATATATATATATATATATATATATATATATATATATATATATATATATATATATAACAAACTGTATGTGTTTCACAACACGTGTTTGTGATGACGGTGTATACAGTAAGATCGACACCTCGACCTGGCTGTAACAAGCAACTTCAGTCTCGTAAGCTTCTGGTGGCTGAAGCAATATATACCATAGTACACAATGTATAGTAATGCCACTATTGGCTCCTCGAGATCTAGAACAGCTGCCACTTGTAAACTGCAGCAGTAGGTGTGTCCTGATGATAAATTAAGAGAATAAATTTAAACCTGGTTAAGGGTCCCAAGTCATCTATCAGTCACTCGTCATCGTATACAACGCCCGAGGAATACTATTGGTCTACATTACAATCCCGGACCACACCCACGGGAAACTGACCGCACCCACGTGAACTGACCACACCCTTGGGAAACTGACCACAACCGCGGGAAACTGACCGCACCCACGTGAACTGACCACACCCTTGGGAAACTGACCACAACCGCGGGAAACTGTCCACACCCGCGGGAAAGTGACCACACCCACGGGAAACCGACCACACCCACGGGAAACTGACCACACCCACGGGAAACTGACCACACCCGCGGGAAACTGACCACACCCTTGGGAAACTGACCACACCCGCGGGAAACTGACCACACACGCGGAGAACTGACCACACCCGCAGAGAACTGACCACACCCACGGAGAACTGACCACATCCACGTGGAACTGAGTAAGACAGGCGTCACAAAACACACAAACAATGAAAACAAAATCCTGATATTCTCCTTCCTGGTTTTAGAACCAAGTTGGATGACGAAGAATCTCGGTCAAATGTCTTGTTACCAAGTGACTCAAGTCTCTACAACTTTTAGTGCACAAGACCTGATAGGAACATTGCAACATTTAACTGAGACAACACGATGCAGGTACACCTATCAAACAACTGAACCTTTCCCCAGAGGCTCGTAAAGGAAGAATTATCTGTAAAGAAAATGAGTTTTGCCCCCATAAGTATACACAAGAGGAAATAGTTAGAGGTAGAAAAATAAAGGAGGAAAGTAGAAATGAGGAAAACAGAGGCGATGGGAAGTAAATTATGACTGTTAAGGGAAATCAACCTGACGTGGAATTGGGCTGCCGGGTCAGTCTGGTCAGATATTGGAGTTTAGAACAGAACCCACTCCAACATGGCAACACCTCAATAGGGATCCTTCACTTATGACTTGGATGGTGGTAAGGGAACTGTTTGTAGTAGGAATAGAAGTACTGGTAGTAATAGTTGTGGTAATAGAAGTATTATCAGTATGACGGGTAATGATAGTGATGGTGATGGAGGTGGTAGTGTGGTGTAATGGTGTGGTGAGGTGATTGTTAGGTGATGATGATGGTGGTGATAGTGTTTGTCGTCTTAATGTTTTTAGTACTGTAGTTAGTAGTTGTACAGTAGCTAAAACAACTATCTGTGCATACTTTGTGGGAAACAGTATGAGACCATGGACGATAAATTTTGGTACATGAAGACTGTCACAAGTCACACGTAAAATTTCTGAGCATATCGACCCCCACCTGTACAGATAGTTGTTATAGCTACTGTACCTGGAGAGCACTTGATAATGTTACTTAAGTCGTCCAAAAGTATTACACTGTAGGCCAGGATAATATGTGAGGATAAATAATTACAGTCAGCCCTTGAGAATTACACCCTTAATGTTTTCAGTCAAATACAAGAAACCTCCTGGGATTTTCAGTCAAATACAAGAAACTTAAAAAAAACTCCCTGGTATTTTCAGTCGATTATAAGAAAATTCCTGGGATTTTCAGTCAAATACAAGAAACCTCCTGGGATTTTCAGTCAAATACAAGAAACCTCTTGGGATTTTCAGTCAAATACAAGAAACCTCCTGGGAT